CTTCACCGCAATACACCGCCTAATATAACTATTTCACCGCATAAATAAGCGCGTGACGACAATTAGCTATAGTGTTTAATTTGACATAAGCTTTCGTTCTTCCTCGGTGGTATAGTGGTAGGTCGTTTGGCCTGTCTCGACAAACCTTTGAGTTCGAATCCCATCGACTTCATATTTTCAATATTTTTTCCTTTTATTTCTATCCAGCTGTTTTTATTCTTTTTACATCTTTATATGAGAAATCGCTTTGCAAGTAGTTGGAAATATTGGTATGTTGTACCTGGCACGAAGAGATCCAATCATTTCTAACAGTTAATTCCGTTCGATATTATTTGAGTTTTATTTCAACTCGCGTACTATATATTTTTGGCTGTTTGAGAGAAGCTGCCAAATAGTTTAAAGAGTCAAGTTGAGTGTGGTGTAGCGTATACTTTGGCTCAAATACAACATAGAGTATAAGCAAATGCTAGAAGTTACTATCGCAAGGAAAGTGCTGCCATCATGGCGTTCCAAGTTGCCGCAAACTGCCTATATCCTTCACCGCAATTCACCGCCTAATATAACTATTTCACCGCATAAATAAGCGCGTGACGACAATTAGCTATAGTGTTTAATTTGACACAAACTTTTGTTCTCCCTCGGTAGCTTAGTGGTAGGTCGTTTGGCCTGTCTCAACAAACCTTTGAGTTCGAATCCCATCGACTTCATATTTTCAATATTTTTTTCTTTTATTTCTATCCAGCTTGTTTTATTCTTTTTACATCTTTATATGAGAAATCGCTTTGCAAGTAGTTGGAAATATTGGTATGTTGAACCTGGCACGAAGAGATCCAATCATTTCTAACAGTTAATTCCGTTCGATATTATTTGAGTTTTATTTCAACTCGCGTACTATATATTTTTGGCTGTTTGAGAGAAGCTGCCAAATAGTTTAAAGAGTCAAGTTGAGTGTGGTATAGCGCATACTTTGGCTCAAATACAACATATTGTATAAGCAAATACTAGAAGTTACTATCGCAAGGAAAGTGCTGCCATCATGGCGTTCTAAGTTGCCTCGAACTACCTATATCCTTCACCGCAATTCACCGCCTAATATAACTATTTCACCGCATAAATAAGCGCGTGACGACAATTAGCTATAGTGTTTAATTTGAAATAAACTTCCGTTCTCCCTCGGTGGCTTAGTGGTAGGTCGTTTGGCCTGTCTCGACAAACCTTTGAGTTCGAATCCCGTCGACTTCATATTTTCAAATTTTTTTCTTTTATTTCTATCCAGCTGTTTTTATTCTTTTTACATCTTTATATGAGAAATCGCTTTGCAAGTAGTTGGAAATATTGGTATGTTGAACCTGGCTCGAAGAGATCCAATCATTTCTAACCGTTAATTCCGTTCGATATTATTTGAGTTTTATTTCAACTCGCGTACTATATATTTTTGGCTGTTTGAGAGAAGTTCATAAACATGCTCAAAAGCATATTACAAGATGTTGGTACATATATGAGGCGTGCTTATGAGAATCGCTATATGAGGTGTCTCATAAATTATGCAGTTTGGTCATAAACATGCTGAAAAGCATATTACAAGAAGTTGGTACATATATGGGGCTTGCTTATGAAAATCCCTATATGGGGTGTCTCATAAGCACGCAAGATAATTATGCGGTTTGGTCATAAGCATGCTCAAAAGCATATTAGAAGATGTTGGTACATATATGGGGCGTGCTTATGAGAATCCCTATATGGGGTGTCTCATAGGCACGCAAAAACATTTCGCAGTTTTGTCATAGGCATGCTCAAAAGCATATTACAAGATGTTGGTACATATATGGGGCATGCTTATGAAAATCCCTATATGGGGTGTGTCATAAGCACGCAAGAAAATTATGCAGTTTGGTCATAAGCATGCTCAAAAGCATATTACAAGATGCTGGTACATATATGGGGCGTGCTTATGAGAATCCCTATATGGGGTGTCTCATAGGCACGCAAAAACATTTCGCAGTTTGGTCATAGGCATGCTCAAAAGCATATTACAAGATGTTGGTACATATATGGGGCGTGCTTATGAGAATCCCTATATGGGGCGTCTCATAGGCACGCATGAACATTTTGCAGTTTGGTCATAGGCATGCTCAAAAGCATATTACAAGATGTTGGTACATATTTGGGGTGTGCTTTAATATGAGAATCCCTATATGGGGCGTCTCATAAGCAGGCTCATAGGCGCAGGAAAATTTTGCAGTTTGGTCATAAACATGCTCAAAAGCATATTACTAGATGCTGGTACATATATTGGGCGTGCTTATGAGAATCGCTATATGAGGTGTGTCATAAGCACGCAAGAAAATTATGCAGTTTGGTCATAAGCATGGTCAAAAGCATATTACTAGATGCTGGTACATATATTGGGCGTGCTTATGAGAATCGCTATATGAGGTGTGTCATAAGCACGCAAGAAAATTATGCAGTTTGGTCATAAGCATGGTCAAAAGCATATTACTAGATGCTGGTACATATATTGGGCGTGCTTATGAGAATCGCTATATGAGGTGTGTCATAAGCACGCAAGAAAATTATGCAGTTTGGTCATAAGCATGGTCAAAAGCATATTACTAGATGCTGGTACATATATTGGGCGTGCTTATGAGAATCGCTATATGAGGTGTGTCATAAGCACGCAAGAAAATTATGCAGTTTGGTCATAAGCATGGTCAAAAGCATATTACTAGATGCTGGTACATATATTGGGCGTGCTTATGAGAATCGCTATATGAGGTGTGTCATAAGCACGCAAGAAAATTATGCAGTTTGGTCATCAGCACGCTCAAAGGCATATTACAAGATGTTGCTACATATATTGGGCGTGCTTATGAGATGTTGGTACATATATTGGGCGTGCTTATGAGAATCCCTATATGGGGTGTCTCATAAGCACGCCAGAAAATTATGCAGTTTGGTCATAAGCATGGTCAAAAGCATATTACAAGATGTTGGTACATATTTGGGGCGTGCTTATGAGAATCCCTATATGGGATGTCTCATAAGCACACAAGAAAATTATGCTTGTATTAGCGTGCTTATGAGAATCCTGGTGTATTTTGGTGTCTCGTAAGCACGACCATAATGCTCGTTTTAGCGTGCTTATGAGAATTCTGGATAAAGCAACATCGTATATATGCTTGTTTTAGAACAAAAATAAGACAAAAACTGTTTAATAAAACAAAAGTTGTTTTTTTGCATTAATGCATATGCGACGCTTTCGTTTGGTGAACATTGTTGGTGAACTCTAGCGCATGCGCAAAACCGGATTAGTGTTGGCCGAAAAATTGTGGCAATTTTTTTGCTCCTGGGCACAGAATAGATAATAGGACCAGAATACTGCGCATGCGCGAGCTAAACAAGTGTAATGCAGTGTTGACAATAGAAAATTATATTGGGAAGTTGTCATTTCTACAGTAAAAACAGCTTTTTTTTCAAGTAGTACGAATTGTGACTTCGATTTATCTGTGGAACTATTTGAACAGAAGGTAAAGCAGTAATTTTATTGTATTTAGAAAGCAAACAGAGTCATATTTTTAAAAATATAGCGCACTGAATATAAATTTGAGCGTCATTAAAATGTGTTCGCTATGATGCCATTTTGTCTCCGGTATATACGGAGTTCTGCTTTTATACTTGTGGATATTCGAATTTATTTGGCTCAACCATTACTTCAATATCCCTTTCTTGTTTTTCCTTGGATAGGTTTTAACAAGATAGAACTCTAGATCCCTTGGGTCCAAAGACGCTAGATTATAAAATCCTGATGTGACTTGATACTACAAATAGAATATGTCTTATGATTTAATACTACAAATAAAATGTCTTTTAAGTACAAACTCCAATGAATTGATAAAGTGTAAGGATAGTGTTTAAAGTTGCTTCATGTGTAGAAGCTGAATTACTTTAGTTTATACACTGTATATTGTCGAGATCACATGTTGATATAACTTAATACCAGCAACTTGCAATAAGTGGTCTGTTCTGCTTGTTTATAATACTTTAGAGTTTGGACATTAGAACATTGTAATTGCCTGACAGAGACTGTTAGGTCCTGTTTGTATGGAAGCCAGGCTGGCCCGCTTAGGAAGACAGCCCGGTAAGGTAGGTAAGCAGGATGATTTCTCTTGTGTTTATTTGAGAAAATTTCATTCCGCTTACCGGGACAATTTTGTTGTTTTGACATTATTTTGACAGTTGTTAAAAATAGCTTGCGGCAGTATCTTTGAACTTTCATCCCGGCAACCGGGCTAGCCTGCTTATGATTATTTATGTGGAGAAATTTCCATCCTGGTCTTGGCAACCGGGCCTGCCCGCTTGTCCATAGAAATGATAATTTGTACTATAAAAATAACTAGACAGCGAGATCTCACTTACCGGGCTGTCTCACTTAGCGGGCCAGCCAGTTTCGATATAAACAGGCCCTTACACAACTGCTAAAAGCTGCAAGTTTCTTTAAAGCAATATCGTCTATATCACAGAATACAGTTTCTGTAGTGACATACTTCGTGTTTTTTCTGTCTTTAAAGTGTCTTATGTTTGTAATATTTTTGTACAATACCTTTTTGAAATTGTTGATACTGATCTCATTGTAACTCAGTAGTCTCAGTTATTCCTTCTCAAGAAAAATAAAAAAACAAAGCTGTGTGGGTGTGTTTTTGCTCTAGCTAGTTTTTACATTTACATTGTTCATGTACAATTTATGTACATTTAAATTAGCTTTGTTCAATGAATACAGGTGTGATTCAAATATCATTCCTGTCAGGTACTTGGGTCAAATAGACATAAGCATACTAAATCATGCTGTGAATTGAAATACAAGTATAGGGTGTATATTGTTTAAAATTAATAAATATATTTTCCAGTTAACCCAGTAAGCTGCATTGTGCCCCAATGCACCCTACTTTACTAGTTTATTTCACTTCATCTAATGCCAGATGATTTTACTTATCGAGGGAGAGTGCTGCTGCTCATTGAGCTCTGATTGAGTTCACTGAGTGGCAGCACTTTCCCCTTGACGAGTGAAATTGTCTGGCGTTAGACAGAGTAAAATAATCTTGCGTTCAATCAATCAGCTACTTTTTCGAAAGCTCAACCAGGTTAAAGATTCTTTGATTTGAAAACCAAAGTGATAGTGAACTAGTTAGTTGAAACAAACAGAATTGTTTGATTTATTTATTTACTTTCCACAACATTGACAATTAAAATTTAATTTGATACTTTTCCAGTATATTGACATTAGGGGCGGACCATTAGAAATCCCGGAAGGGGGTGAAAATTCAAAAAAAATAATTCGTGCAAAGAAAAATGCCTGGAAAAAAAATTCGTGCAGCCATTACGTCAGAGAAAAAAAATTCGTGCAAGCAAACAGCAAAGTACAAGTAGTCTTGAAAAAAAATTTGTGCAGAGGTTAAATGCATTAAAAAAATTCCTGCAGAGACATGAGACTGAAAAAAAAATTCGTGCCGCAAAAATTTTATACCCCACCTCCCGGGATTTCTAATGGTCCGCCCCTATAGGTTCAGATTTGACTACCATTACCATTAAGGGACCATCAACCAATCAAATGCATATGATATATTTGATCAACCATTATAATGAAAGTGCGAGTTTATTCATAAACTAATTATAAATCAACTTCCATGCAATGCTTCATGCAATCATCTAGTTATGCACCAGTCAATGTAAATCCCTGCCCCCAACCGGGGAGGGGCAGAAGGTTTAACGGGGAAAGTGGTCAGTTTTGATTATAAATTTGTCCCCGATGATGGGAGACTTGGACAGTGATTAACATATATATCCTGTGTTGCTGTTTTAGTTTTCTTGACAAGAAAAGTTTAAATATAACAACATAAATGAATCTGATTTTCTATTGCTGATCTATGATTATACAAAACTATTTTCCTGGGGTTAAGAGACATGCAGGGGACATTGACGTCCCTGGGGGTGGGGACAATTTCGCTTTTTTACTACCCCTCCAAGTCAAAATCCCTGCCCCTCCCTGGTTGGGGGGTTTACATTGACTGGTGCATTAATTAAAGAAGTGTCAGTGCCACGTATGTAGTAAAAGCCAACTTGTCAGTAAAGGCCACAGAGCAAGATTGTATTTCAAAGACTGCCAGTGACAAAAACAATTGATAGTCCTGAAATAGAGTATGCCAACAGTTAGTATACTGCAAATAACTATTCTATCAACAAGATAATGTGTGTGTTTTACAAGTGTTTTTTATATATCAATCCAATGGCATGTAACCTAAAATTCAGCAGTGTCTGTGTAATGAAATACACCCTTACTTCTCAAGTATGGTCAAATTAACTATACTACATTGTGTATAATAATATATGGACTGGTTCAAAAATATATTGAATTTATATTAGTGAACTGGTGAACTATTGATGTAGAGATTATGCCAAGTATAGAATGGCACAAGGATTTTCATGTTATCAGCATGATTAAATCGTGAGATTGTGCAAATAATCTATGTAAAATCTCTTAGAGATATCCTCGGTAGCTACATTTTAAGGTAAAATGACTATGGTAAAGCTATTCAAGGCAAAAAAGCAATGGATCTGTCAACCTCGTTGTCAACAGTAAATTTAGCTAAGTTTATGATCCATTTATTGCCGTATTTTAGCTGAGAATTCATTTAAGACAATGTAATACGATAGACTTACCTTTGAATTTATCATATATTCTTTTAAAATGGTCACCAAAGCTCTAAAACTCGATTGGTATCGTTTTAACTTCCTCACTCCTTAATGTTTATATGTAAATTTGTCAAATTACACTTGTTTAGGGCACTGGAAACGAGACGCGGCCAAGATGCGCGAGCCGACATGCGCGGGGACATCAACATCAAAGATTCCGACATCGAGTGAGACTTCTGGTCTTATTATTTATTTTGTGGTTGTGCGTTTTCGAAGCGGTTTTCCGTTTTCGTAGCTGTTGTACTGTTTAAATATCTACAGTTACTCTCTGTGTAAAAGGTTATCGACGAAATAATGGCCACAGCGCAGCGAATGTCTATCGACGAGTCACACTGCGTGTTGTGTTGCGAAGATATGGAGTACAGTGCCTGTGGGTCTTGTGATCACCCAATCTGTCTGAAATGTTGTGTAAAATTACGCCTGTTGAGAAAGGAATATGACTGTCCCGTGTGTAGAGCCCAACTAAAAGAGGTATCGGTATTTACTCACGATTTTATGATTAATATCAAATTTATTACCCCATCATGGTTCAGGAATGTTATATTTTTAATACACGTCGACCATTTTCAGGAAATTGTGTAAACCCATATTGGGCTATTCCATTTAATATCCGTACACCCCCTGTCGAGGATACATGTTTTTTATGGTTATACCCCTGAAGAATTCCAAGCTCAAAACCTTGTACCCCTGAAGAATTCCAAAATTCCAAGCTCAAAACTCTTTACCCCTGAAGAATTCCAAGCTCAAAACCTTTTACCCTTGAAGAATTCCAAGCTCAAAACCCTTTACCCCTGAAGAATTCCAAGCTCAAAACCTTTTACCCCTGAAGAATTCCAAGCTCAAAACCCTTTACCCCTGAAGAATTCCAAGCTCAAAACCCTTTACCCCTGAAGAATTCCAACCTCAAAACACTTTACCCCTGAAGAATTCCAACCTCAAAACACTTTACCCATGAAGAATTCCAACCTCAAAACCCTTTACCCCTGAAGAATTCCAGGGATCCTCGACAGGGGGGGTACGGATATTAAATGGAATAGCCCATTACATGATAATAGTATAAAGAAAGGCCACGTCAATATTTTTCTAGTTGTCACGCAAAACATCAAATTGACGGGGTTTTTATGTAAAACCCAGCCTTGAAAACATCAAGCTTTATACATGGAAGACTTTTTAATATTCAAATTTTTAAAAATATTTAGTGGATTTGAAAACGTCACCGAATAGAGGTGTGCATCAGATCGGATTGGACGTTCATAATCTGACAATTGCCTAATGTTTAAAATCCGTTCTGATCCAAAATTGTCTAATCCAAATCCGATCCAAGTGAGAATATTTAACCAAATAGATATATTAAAAAAAGCAAGAAATACATGTCAAGAAGCTGACAAAGTGCATGATTCTGGATAATTATTCATCTTATTTCGAATATCGAAGTCCGATCCTACTCCGAAACAACTTTATCAATCCAATCCGAAATGAATATTTTTGTTTCGAAATCCGAACAGATTCAGATCGGATTTGCACACCTCTATCATCGAAATAGTAATTTTGGCCCATTTGAATGATGTGACTAATGTGCTGTACTTTTATTATTGGGGTGCTAGTTTCTTTATATTCCTTAGGGGGGGGAGAGCATTCAAATGAATTGGCTTACTAACGACTTGAGCGCTGAAGGTGCAAGCTCCCTAGGTATGTAGGGGGTTTAGATTATGCCTGCCGGAAAATTTTGAAACTTAGAGCCCTAGAAATGCCATTTCCTGCAATATGGGCATTGAATTATGAGCTTCAGTTTGACTTCAAAAAAGGAAAAACCTTGGAAATTATGCCATATTTCTGAATTTGATTTTTTTGCATCTCCCCCCCTTGCACCCATCCTATCAATCCACCCCTGGGGTTAACTATGTGTGTATATCTCAAGATTGTTAATTTAAACCATTAGTTGCCATTTGTTATATGTTGAAACCAACGAGTTTTGGCTATTTGCCAGTGAATTAATGTGATTGGTTCATTTAAATGGTCAGTGGATGTTTCACACAATCAAACTGGAACCTTAACCGCACCTAACCTTTAACCCTCTTCTCTAACCTGTAACCCTAACTGATCAGGCCACCTGCTCGCAGGTCGATACACCCATCTACGACATACAAGGCGAGTGCCTTAAATCACTCGACTACCGACGTTTGCTTGAAAATCGATGAAATTTGCTTGACATCATTTTAGCAAGCTGACAGAATGAGGAAATAAGCTAATCAAATTAATTCACAGACAAATAGCCAAAGCTTGTTGGCTTTGGTGACCGTCCAGACAGACAACTTTTGTATTTTTACTCTGTCTAATGCCAGGTGTATTTACTTGTCTTTGGGAAATATTGAGTAATTGACTGTCAATGGGCTCTTGTTAACACAAATACAACAAGCTGTAATATATCCTAATGTGCCAATTTTTTGTCAAAAGTGCCAGGTGTTTTTACTTTAACCCATTAAGCTGTAAAGCTTCCCCATTGACGGGTAAAATTGTTTGGCGTTAGACAAGTAAAAAAATAGGCAGGGAGCACCGAGGTGCATTGGGCCCGCAGTAATTGGCGTTATGCTGTTGTGGGAACCCTGCCAGAATTTGTAATTTATGTAACGGCAAAGTTATTAAATTAAAAAAATTGCAGCTCAATCAGTAGTGCCTAAATTACTTTGAATTTGTACTCAAGTAAAAGTAGAAGTAATTAACAATAAAACGACTTGAGTAAGAGTAAAAAGTACTGGAAGCAAAACGTACTTAAGTAAAAAGTACAAAGTATCCTTAAAAAATACTTGAAGTACAAAGTAAAAGTACTATTGTCTATAGCGTGTAGGGGGGAGGGGGGCTTCTCCAATGGATTGACATACAAAAGACACAAAACAGCACACGCAATATACAATGTTTCACCGCAGGGTCTACTTTCCAGACCCCGTTGAAGATATAACAAATATGAATCCATTAAATAAATAATGCTTATATGTAGAGGTCCTATTACTTATCCCAAAATTAAAATAAATCAGGAATAAATCACGATAAATGTGTAAAAGTAACGAAATACTTCGCCACAAAATGAAAATAACGAAGTAAAACGTTACTTCTTAAAACGACTTCGTTCTAAGTAAAAGTACTCCAGAAAAAGTTTACTTTGTTACATGCTGACTTCTCAAAAATAGTACTCAAGTACAGTAACGAAGTACATTTACTTCGTTACTTGACACCACTGCCCCCTCCCCATAAATGACCACCACGAGTGACCACGAATGACTACGAATGACCACGAGTTATTTCCATAGGGTTTTTGCATTATACTACACTTTTGTATCCAGAAAACTCCTGTTTCTTCACTTTACATGACATGACACAAAGACGAAATTTATTGGACACATTGACAATGCAAATTTTTTCGTCCTAAATAAATTAACATGTTAATTTGCCGAACCCCCCACGAAGAAAGTTCGACTTTTTTGTGTGTGACATTTCGACTTGTGTGTGAGAGGTTCGGCTTATTTCCGCGTGATTCGAATGTATTTTGTGAGCGTTTCATTACATGTATGAGCTTTCATAGTGTTTACAAGCATTGGACTTAATTGTGTGTGTTCATAATTTTGTCCCTTTTGGACGCCCATAGTGGCGTGCGGGAATAACACACAGAGTATACGCGAAGACTGGATCTCTAGGAAGAACAGTTTAGAACTGATAGAGCTATCCAGTATAACTAAAGTTAGTTTAGTTTAGGTTCCCTCCTGTAGTAACATTGGATCAATAAGAGATGACCCTTACTGAAACTCCAAGAAGAACAGTAATTTAGAACTGATAAAGCTATCCAGTGTAAATAAAGTTAATTTAGTTTAGATTTCCTCCTGTATAGTAACATTGGATCGACAAGAGATGATCCTTACTGGACCGCTACCACCAACCATGCAGAGATGATTCTTCAGTGGAACTCTAGGGAGAAAAGTTTAGAATTGATGGAGCTATCCAACACTGGATCTATAAGTTTTGATCAGTTCGAGCTAGTACAGTATAAATAAAGTAAATCGAGTGTGATTCTAACAATATTTTTTTAACCGAATTCTAACAAGATTCCAATACAAAAGTGATATGTGTGGAACAGCCAAGAGACTTATTCCTTGTCGTTGATGATTCGGCGAGCATCGGATATGGGAATATAAAAAAAGTTCGCAAATTTTTAACCCAATTGGTATCATCTGTGCACGTTAGCCGGGATATGACGCGCATTGGTTTCCTCCAATTCAGCGACGAGGAGCATACGAAAATAAGATTCAATCTTAATAATAATTACGATGCCCAAACGATCCGCCAAAAATTTGAGAACATGCCGTATTACGGTGGCTCGAGGACCTTGACTGGACTGGGACTGCAAATTGTCCACGATCAGGTGAGGATATATATATATATATATATATATATATATATATATATATATATATATATATATATATATATATATATATATATATATATATATATATATATATATATATATATATATATATATATA